TCCCCAAGTCATTCACCAACCACTACAGGATGGCATGTTATCTCTCTCTCAACAGAAGATCGTTTGATCGTTGAATCGGGTTAATTTAGGTACATTTAATTTAATGTACTACCTTGTATTTATATTATTTTCTCATAATGATATTTATAAAATGTTCAACTTTTAATAATTAAGTAATTCAATGCTATAGGAAGCTAGGCTAGCCCATGGAGTTATAATTACTGTATTTATAACTCCATGGCTAGCCTAGTACCAGGCCTAGGCCCTGGGTCTTGTTTAGGCCTAGGCCAAGGTAGCCTAGTCTAGCCTATAAGCAAGATTTATTGCCATTGGGGGTGAGTGACTTGAGACCTGAAGATTTAACAGATGCATTGGTTTGATTGATTTCTGGGCCCTTTGTTAAATATTACAATGCCGACATTATAACCAGGGAGATGCAAAACATGCTCATCTGTCCCTGTTAGTGTTATAACCATAGTTGATTTTGCAGCATGGGAGATTTTTTATTTATTTATTCAACACTAATTTGAGGGGGTAGCTCAAACAGCAATGCTACAGAAATTATGAAATTGCAAATCAACCTTCACATTTAATTGTCGCTAATAAATATTTTGAAACAAAATTTTTTCCTGTCTGTGGGCTAGTAAAATGTTCTGTGGGCTAGTAAAATCTCTAGTAAACTAGCCCAGTGGGCTAGTTACCAAAAAAAGTTAGGGCAAGCCCTGATAATAGTGGTACACATTTTGTTTGGTCAGTAATAAATTTTTCTCCAAAAAACCATATTATTTTTTAAAGAAAACAATTGTACATTTAAGAATTTTTTTAAAGTAGAATTTTTTTTGCAGCGACAAAAATTTACAAAACGCAGCAGATGGAACTAGGTGGAAAGAGATAGTGGTGAGACTTGTGATGTCAGAAGACGAGAAGCATTATTGATGACGATTATAATTTCATTGTCGCAAACATCGTCAGAAAGAATTAAAGCTCAAATTACTTTAATGTTAGACAGCAACTATTACAGCAGTTAAATCTGAATTATCTTATTCAGTTAATAAAAGTTTTCAAATCAAACAAAGTATATTTGAATTTAAAACCTTTTTAAAATTTCTTACTTTACTGTTTGTTCACTTTATTTTCGGATGGAAATTCTTTATTGTTTTGTATTTTTCATTCCTTTCCCCATACTAGTGTCACAAACACTATCAGAACTCTCATTGTTCATGCACTAGGCTTACAGCATTTCTCACAATTCATTTGCAAATATTAGTAATATTTTATTACATACAGGAATCAATAACTTTCACAATAAAATGAAATCAGGAAACAAGCAGGTATTGCTGATTGGGCGAGACATGTATGTATTCTCTGGACTTCATTAAATATTTCACAAGCAGTTCAAATTTCTACTGCTTTGCATATGTTTAAAACAGTTTACTGTACTATATGGTATCATACTACAGTATCTACCCACAGTAATCACCATTTATACAGTGTTACTTTGCTCAATGCTATATCTTCACTACCACTGTTCATGCATCAATGCACATATTGAACGTCCAATGTTAACCATGGCAATCACAATTGCACCATTTTATACACAATCGACATATCTTGATATAATACTCTACACCGTACTGTATACAGGTATTAGGGTATTTATTACAGTATTGATAGGATATTGTTATTATCCAATGCTGCACACAACTACAGTAGCTACAGAGGCTTTAACATACAGTGTAGACGTTTTGGTATCCTAGCAATAAAGGGGAAAATTTACCCTCAAATGGCCCAAAAAGGATATATTGTATTTTGTTAATTCTGTGGGGAAAATAATAATGTTGATTTTCAGATGGTAGGTTTTATACCAGACCACTGATTATGTGTGAAAATATGAAAAAAAAAAAAAATAGTATTATTTATTGTGAACATCCCAAATCATGCATATGGATTTGCCCAAGGAGGCAGAAAAGGTTTTGACAGGTCACCATCCCAGGTTAAAATGCATTTGGGCCACAAAAGGCACCAGTGGAATGCAGGGGCTGACAGTGCTGGAGGGAGAGGGGTGGGGTCAAAGGAAAAAATTATTCCCTTTGGACAAGTACCATCTTCAGGCATCTGTAAAAAATACCTAACTGTACAGTACAATGCGACTTTTACTTTAAAATTTGAAGCTTAGCATTCAAACATTCAGTACTGTACATAGTATTTCTATGTAATTGAAAAAAATGAGATAATATTTGGTGCTGGAAATATTTTAAAGATTTTTTTTCATATCATGGTCTCCGGTTAATACATGTATTCATAGGTTTAACACTAAAAAAGAATAATTAAGCCATTGAATATTATCGTGAAGAAAATAATACCGTAAAACCTTGAATTGAAGCCCTGGGCTTATTTTTTTTTTTTTTTTTTCGAACTTTGGATGGGCTTCATTTCGAGATGGGTTTCTTTTCAAGAGACTACTTTTGCAAAGTAAAGAAGGGGCGGGGGGTGCTTCTTTTCAATAAATGCTGTAAATTTTGTGAATTTGTACCCTATAACAATAAGTAAGGCCACTGTAATATCAATCAGTATCATGGAGTGTATTTAACTGGCATTAAATCACCTATTAAACCAAGCCTGTATTTAATTTTCTTGTTTTCTGAAAATCTGATACTAGTTGCGAGTACAGCCGTCAATTATTAGTCTATGCGTTCCATACGTTTTATGGTGTTAGTTACTATTAATTTTGGGCACTTCGCAATGTCTGTTACATCTGATTTCTTTTGACCGCGAGCTGGTTAAATGCTTCTATAAACTGCAATTTGATTTGTGAAAATTGACCAAGAAAATGAAAAGTTATAGTAATTCAAAATTTAAGAATTTTATAAAATTTCATGTTCTTATGTAACATTAATCTCTCATGAACGACAATACACCACAATATCGGTAAAATTAATGTTGAAATGAAGAATATAATTTTAGTCTAATGTTAGTGAAAAATATCATTAGGCCTTTGCAATCACCGCACAACACGCGATCATGGCAACTAACATGCTCGTGGGTAAATCGTTACGTACGCTGACGGTTTATGGTCTGGTTGCTATGGTTTTTGTGACGTTCAGCGTGTAGGGACGCACGTGCGCCTAGAATGTCGATGCCAGAGTTATAACCTTTGATGTCCCGAGATGTGCGTCCTTCTGATTAATTGCCTTGGTAATTCATTGTATCTACAATACTTTAATCTCAGTGTTTCATTCTTTTTATTGTACTTAAAAACAACTTTACAGATTTTCTCAACCTTACTACCATGCTTTAAAATAAAAGTCCTGCAAATGTGTATTTAAAATGACTATTTTTATAGTTGTGGGAAAATGAAACTAGAAAGAATGCCAAAAGGAACTGTTAGAGTATTATTATAATGTATAAACAAATAAAGACCAAGTTATACAGTAAAGCACAGATAAAGCATTCATATTTAAATGAAGTAGTATTTAGCAAATACAAACTGCTTGATATTTTTCAGCTAATACAGTGTACAGTATACTATACATTTGCTGAAGGTTATCTCTAAAGTCATTACTGTAATTTATCTATAAAAAATATGCAATGAAACGTTTAAAGTTCAAAGTACTGTAGTCACTCCTGCTCATTGGATACAATATTTTATTAAAGTAAAATAATAATTTATTTGCAAAGTCGATCTTCTTTAAGTATATTGTATCAAATGAAAACATTTGTTTAAATTTAAAATATGAATTTTATTTTGCTGTTACATGTAATAGATCTTGTAGATTTGATCTTTAAATTTCCTGTTTGAAATATATAATTAAAAATGTAAAACTGGATTGCTAATAGCTATGGAACATTTACCACTAGCAACCTCTAACTAACCTCTTAGCTATGTTAAATTATTTTAGAGTAACAATTAAAGCATTTTTGCTTATTTTATACCCTGTATGGTATTATAATTCCTACTTTTATAACTACTGTACTTGCTTTTTCTTGTTATAATAATAAATTAAATACTGTAAAGTGTGTTTATTTGATAATTAGTATTGAATTGATTATTACAGTAGTACTGTATTATGCAAAGTTGAGATTGGGGAATTATTCAACAATTTTATCTTTGAAAAAAATCTCTAAATGCCGATTCTTTGTATCTTTGATAGGTATATTTGTCCTCATTGGTATCATCATTTACCCTGCTGGATGGGACCACAACATAATCCAAAGCTTGTGTGGTGGCGATTCATATTCACTTGGCGGATGTCAGCTGCGATGGGTGTTTGTGTTGGCCATCGTGGCTGTATTTGATGCATTCATCCTAGGAATTCTAGCCTTGCTTCTCGCCAGTAAACATGATAAACTTCATCCTGAACACTTTTCAGAATACTACGCACCAAAAGGTAAAGTCATATGATTGTTGAATGTACGCATTATGGTCATGTCTTGCCCTGTTTCTCAAGATTTTAGCTTGGTGGTTAAAATAAGCAGAGCTCTTGCTTGGTAGTTAAGATGAGTGAAGCTGTTGCTTTGTGGTTGAGTGGAGTGGAGCTGCAAGAGATGTTAAAGCTTTTGGGCTTGTGTGCATTATGGCCCGTGTGCATGTTAAAGAACTCGGTGCAGTGTTCGGAAAAGAGTAGGTGATTATCTCCCGGTGTACTGTCCAGTCACCAACAGAAGGTCCTCAGTGGAAACAAGTCTCCTTCAGACATCATGGGTTATCCCCGGTGTTTACACCGAATAGATCCAGCCAACTGTTACTTGTTGGTTCGGATGATTGGAGTTGTTTGGTGGTTAAGATCTGTTGCTTGGTGTTTAAGATGAGTGAAGCTGTTGTTTTAAGTGGTTAAGATGAGTGGAGTTGTTGCTTGGTGGTTACCTGTAAGATGAGTAGAGCTGTGGCTTTTAATGGTTAAGATAAGTGCAGCTGTGGCTTGGTAGTTAAAATGAGTGCAGCTGTAGTTTGGTAATGAGTGGAGCTGTGGCATTGATTAAGATGAGTTGTGCTGTGGTGGCTTGGGTGTTTAGGAGCAGTTCTGTGTTTTGATTTAATTATCCACTGAATTCGAATTCTGTACAGTATGCCAATGCCATGGTAAATTTCACTGTACTTTCAAAGAAGACTACAAAAAAGTTATACAGAACCTTTTACAAAATTTATATTTCCTGATTATCTCATTCTTCACCTCCCCAGCTGGTAAATTTTCGGAAAAGAGTTCAATCTCACGAGCGTCAATAGTTTCTCGGAACTTCAATGTGAACCCTCTTCCTGTAGGAGAAGGCAATGAGGATGAGCGAAGCAACGGAGGTGTATCGTCATCCGGCCACCGTGGACCATCGCCTGATAATGAACCAACGTATGCATCGATTCAGAAACGAAATCGTTCTGGCACAAAAGGATCATCTGCTAGCGGTAACGGAGATGCAAGAATAGATGCGGACACCGATAGACATGATGATAGGCAGGACCTTGTGATGTGAGACGTCCCTATGACTTTATTTTTATACCACAACCTTTTGTACTAAATAGTGATTTTATTCTACAGTAAATCATTTGATGTTTTGAATAAAATATTTATTACTGTTGTTGATTTAGCAAAATTTTATGTGGATTAGTGAAATGTATATAATATTTGCAAAACAAAATAAAATGGAGCAAAAATTATATCATTTAATTTTCAAACTAGAGACAGGACGTGATATCAGTAGTGTACCATTCACATATTTACAAATCATTTGTTGTGAGTCTGCATTGTTTATTTTTTTATGTCTGTTAAAGTGTATTGTAAACATCATGGACTTCCTACCATTTGATTGGACATGATGCAGACCTTTATAACTACTCTTATGCACCAAATTAGATTTTTTAAAATACAGTACCACTTCAAAATGTGTGGTCACTGGTAATGGTTGCTTATATTGTGCTCTCCCTTGTGGGTACAAAGCGCTTTTGTCTTCCGGGAATGGGTCCACTTGCCTGCTGCCCTTTCGTTGCAAAAGCAGGCAAACCTATCAGGTACCCAATTACAGGTATACTACCTGGAGAGAGCAATGTAGATAAAATGCCTTGCGCAAGGGCACAAGCAAAATGTACATCGAAGGACTGAGACACCCGACCTTAAGGTTAGGCAACCTGAGGTTGGGAATAAAATTTACTAAACAGCTAAACAGTTTCAATGAAAACAAATCCTATTTATTCATATAGTCAGTCATTAGAAATTGTAAGTTATAATCAAAGGTATTTTTCTCTGGACATTACTACAGTGCCATTATAATTTTACTGTACAAAGAAGTGAACATACATTGCATACTGTGTTACAGTACATGACTTAAAATACTTGCTTTAATATTTTACATTTACAAATTTATTGTGTATTACATTTCAGTTTCATGTAGAACATGAATATTATCCACAAAAATGATTTACTTTGTAGACAAATCTATGTGTTGTATGATTTATTATATTTTATTCAAATTGTCATGGATTTATTTTTAAGTATGGATTTATTTATTCATTGGATAAATATGGGTGAGATCTGTGTCTAGTTTACAATACAGTTGTGTTGCCAAGGCAACCTGTAACCTCATTTCCTAGAATGGCCATTGGGAAACTACAGGTTTACCAGTAAAAGCAATGATAACCTTGAATCGAATCCAGAGTAATTATCTATTGATTTCACCTTGAAAATGAAAACTTGCCTTTGTTAATTGATTTATTTTAATTGTTTAGTAGTATATTGAACTATTTGGTCATAATGATGAATAATATCAACTGTTAACATATTGAAAATTATACCTTGATTTTAAGTTGGTGGATGTATATATTCTTTTTTAATATGCTTGATTGGTAGTTGTCTTTCATTTTAAGATATCTGTGTGGAGAATTTGAGTACTGTAAATTTAATTAAATGGATTATCTTTATTATAAAATTAAGTTTTGAGGCGGTGAAATTTCTTGTTAAAAGTACATAGTATTTTAAAAATGCTTAGTATCTAATTCATATTTAGTTCATAAGTTATAAGGACGGTAAAATAATTATCAAGATTCTTGGTGCCCTAATAGTTGTTGGAAACTCATTATGCAAATGTCTACACAATAGATATTGTGTGTTTATTGCCTTTTGAGGTGGAATGTGCACTGAAAATTTCATGCACACATGAGCAAAGTCTACTGAGTTATTTTAACATGGTGTGACTGATAGATAGCTCCATGCTAATGTACAGTATCTAAAATTGGGTATATATACTTTGTTTTGGTTGGTTTTGCTCAAAACTTTTAATATATTATACAAATAATGTTGTAATTTCTGAAAAAAAAAAATTGATTTAAAGCATCTTTACCATAGACTGTACCAAAAGACAATTATACTATGTATTTGAAATAGATTATTATCATTATTTATTAAATTGTTTTGGTGCACAATACCATGGATACGTGTACCTGGCAATGCCGTAGCCAGCAAATTGGGACGGTTGAGACAGTCCCACGCAAGTTTTCTAATGGGTCCACAAAAATAATGGGTCCACATTTAAAAAAATAGGTCTAAATTATGTAATTTTATGCATAAAATGGGTCCACTTTTTGAAAAATGGGTCAAGATTTCTCATATTTAGCTTTAAATGGGTAAAATTTAGGAAAATGGGTCCAGATTTTTTATATTTTTGTGTAAAATCGGTCCACATTTGTTTGAATTTACACGTAAAGTAGGTCCACCCTGATATTGTCCCACACTGTTTGAAAATCCTGGCAACGGCAGCCATTGGCACCTGATCAGTGAATATGAGTCTATGATTCAAAATGTACAACCTCCTCCCTAGAGAGTATGACTTGTTGCAGTTAATTCAGTACTACAGACCCAAATAAATTGGAAACACATTATGTAATCCTGGGTGGAGTAGCATAGGAAGTGACTTGCCCAAGGTCACAGGTTATGATGAGATCAAACACAGTTTGGTTGAAAGCCCAATGAATTATTTCTGTACCACAAGGTTTAATCAATGCATCTCATGAATTTCTAAATGTTTTTATTTAAGGCTCTATTCACGCTACAAATATATGTGATTTTCCTAGTCTACTTGGACTTTTGCAGGCTATTGATATGGTCAAATCATGTCATTTGTCACATAAAACTTCACAGTGTGGTGTAACAGGGCTTAAGCCAGCTCTCACTCATTTTCTCATGGACATCTAAATATTTCTTTCTTGTGTTATTGTTTTTTCAAAGATTTTTTGAAACATGGGCACATAATGTCTTTGATGATTCATAATTAGAAACTTGGCAAACATGAGCCAGATAATGATAACAATAATAATAAAATTAATAATAATAATAATAATAATAATAATAATAATATAATAATTCATATATTTTTAGAGTAATAAACTAATAAGTTAGTGTTAACTTGCGCAAGATTTCAATAATAATAATAATTAGAATAAAGCTGCTTAAGTCAAAAGTGAGACTGTATTATTTTAATACATTGAGCAAGTTAATATGTAACAGGTAAAACCATGGACTTATTAGGTAGTTTACACACAATGTTAACCTTAATTCATTAGTACCCAACATGCAACGTGAATGGGTAAACCCGTAACTAGCGTACATTGAGCAAGTAAAATCCTGAAATTAACGTACTCTGCAACGCAAGATGAATAAATTATGATGTCATCTGTTAAGGTTAACATTGTGCGGCGAAAACTACCTATTAGTTCAATCAGTACCTCCATATAAATAAAGCATTCCAATAATAATAACAATAATAATAGTTGAGAACCTCACCATTGCCATTACAGTACAATATTTAGCAACCTCATTGTTATTATGGAATAAGCAACATCTTTAATAGTTAACTAAAAAAACAGTTATGAGCCTCTATAAATATTGATTAAAAATTTAAGAGTTATTCAGTATTTAATATTAGTATCTTAAATTATGATAATAAATATAAAAATAAATGTGTCCTAATGGAAAAGTATATGGCCTCATAGCTCAGTTGTTAGAGTACCGGTATCCGAATGATAATCAGAAGGTCGTGATGGGGACATACGTTTTTCTCAAATATTTATCATCTTTAATTATCACCAGTGGAGGTGTATACCAAAGTTACTATCATGTAATTATCTTAACTTAGTACCTTAACTCCAATTTAATTTTCCGTATTTGGTCACCCCTCTCCCATTTGTAAGCATCAGAACAATAATGTTAGCTTGCATATTATATTTTTTTGAAAATGTTTGGGTTTTTATATGAAAAGTATAATATGTATATATTAGTATGATAATTATATACACTTAGACAAAAATGTTACATGTTTATGTTAGGTATATGTTAGATGAAAACATTGTTAGTAATGATAACATCATCATCATCATCATCATTATCATCATCATCGTCAGTCTAAAAACCCATGGTGAAGAACATTCTGGGGTTCACATCAACTGCAACACTAGCATTGTAGTCTGTCAAGTTGAATTCCAGTACACATGCTTGTTGATGGTTATACAATCCAATTCTTCAGGTAATTTTAATCTTTGGGATTATAGTAAATTGTTTGCAATGTGAAGTTTCTACAGTACCTTGGCATTAAAATAGGACTGGCATTCGATGAAGTGTGCGAGTATTGTATTATTATACGTAAGTTGATTTTTACATAGTACTGTAGTATAATATAGTACAACCCTTCCCTTGGAACACCCCTATTTAGGGAACACACAAATTCAGGTAACACACCTATTAAGGAGCATTCAAGGAAGGGAATACTAAAAAGTATAAAATGTTATGGAAAAATGGAATTGAATTGAAGAATAATGTAATTAATCTTTATAAACAACTGAGGAAATAACAAAAATGAAACTTGTAAAATGCTGATACCAAAACACACAGCAACTTTGCGACTCGGCTGGCTGATGATGAGGTGTGTAAAGGGAACATCCAAGAGCTTATTGAAAAGACAATTGCGATTTATTATCAAAGTAGACGTGGTTGAGATCCACCTCGCCCAAATAAAAACATAAGCGCCGGGGCCGAGGACAATATACCAGGGTCCTAGTGAATACTTATATATAGAACATTCATTTTTTGTTGCCAAACCTCTATAATATAGAGGTTTAACAACAATAATGTTTTGGAAACAAAAGCTTCACAAAGTCTGGCACTTGCAATAGAATACTATTCTATTGCCAGACTTTGCTTTGTAAAGCTTCTTTTTCTTGAATTGCCAGCTGATATTGAGCAAATACCTAAAACTAACCAACCCCCAACCAAGGTAATTCAACAAAAGGACGCACATCTCGGGACATCAAAAGGTTATAACTCTGGCATCGACATTCTAGGCGCACGTGCGTCCCTACACGCTGAACGTCACAAAAACCATAGCAACCAGACCATAAACCGTCAGCGTACGTGACGATTTACCCACGTGCGTGTTAG